CTTTTCACTGGAATTTGAGGACTTTTGTAGAGCTGCAATCTGACTGAATAATTTCGCTATCCTGAACTGGGAAAACAACCGGATTATGTGAAGATATCTCACTGGTCGAGTTGTCTCTCTGTCAAAGTCGAGTTGTCCTAACGGACGACTTGGCAAACTATCAAGTTGTCTCAATGGTAGAGTTGTCTCAACAGTTTACAGTCACTTCGCCCCATTTCCACTTTGCCCCTGGCTACTTCGCCCCTAACGACTTTGCCCCATCCCCACATCGTCCGATCTTCACTTCGCCCCATCCCCACTTCACCCCATTTCCACTTTGCCGTCCGTGCTCAAGTGTGTGACAAGCCTCTTCAAAAAATGGTCGAGAGGGGAGTTCCACAAACGACATGTAGTTTTTATAGAAAACTCTGCGGCATTCAATTAATGTCGATTGCATTGTCCATTATGGTGAATTAATACATCGGTCTATGGTTGGGATATTTCTCATCTTCTTCAAGTTTATTTCAAAGCGACACACACAATTCTGTTCACATCGTTCTGGTACATGTCAGTGCATCCAGACAGCTGTACCCGGATGATAAAGCTTGGCATGCAAGAACTTTTGTGGAAACATGCTTGCTTTAAGTACGAGCAAAACAACCTAAGGCCGTATAAAAAAAATAAGTTGTTGATCGTCCTCGCCCGACCTACCAAAAACGGCCCGACCCAAATTTTTTTTTTTAAGAGTGCAAATACTGAGATTCTGCGTTTAGGAGGTACAGGGGTGTATGTTCCAGTTGCAGAATCATCACATGTGTACAACCAACAGTACTGTCCAAACATGAACCCTTTGATCATCGGAAACTTTGCCTTCAGGTACACTGCATGCTACGGCCAGAACATACCCCTCACACATGTGCATGCGGCACAGCGTAATACAGCTGGCTCAAACCATAGAGTTTCTGGAACAGACACTCACAGGTCAGCTGATTTACACAACGAGTGTATGCAACACGAGCATGGAAACATGAAGCAAGTTCAGACGACGTGGGCAACTCCCCTCTTAGTCTGCAGTCAAACTACATGTTTATCACGTTGCTCGAACAACTTGGACACTGTATTAGTCGTATGACAAGGCTTTGTATCTGCGTGTACGGTGTCAAAAAGCCAGTGAACAATGTGTAATGTTTCAAGCGAAATTGTCACAACGACTTATAGAACGCCTAGTATAAATGTTTTCAAATCAAGGCTTTTTCTCAGTTTCGAGCTTCGTCTCTGATACCAGAGCCTGCATTCAAATTTGTAAATAAAAATGTTCCCATGATGTCTTGAAAATGACATCATGCAGTTTTACTGACACTCTTCATGCAAAAAGAAAATTTTACTGGGCTAAAAACAATCCTCGCCATACGATTTATAGCTGAAGCTGGACCGGGAATGATGCCAAGATTTGGCGACCAGTCATATGTGCTGCCGCCATTTTGAACATGTTCACAACGTGAACGGTTGATTGACAGTGCGATTCATTGTCATGTAAAACGTCAGTTGTTCATGTTAACAACCAGACAATGCCTTTTGTCGTCGCAACAATCGCCCGCAAGGGCAGAAGTCAATCAATCACAGATTGCAAATTTGAAATGTGCATCACCAATAGAATTTGCATACTACTCAGCAGGATTGGGTATCAGGAATTCTGTATCCATTGTGGCACCGAAGGAAACCTTGTCGAAAAGCAAGGTTTTTAAACTCAGTGTGGTATTTGCACTGAGAAGTCCATCCCCAAACGTGGAAAAAAATTCTTCAAGGAGTAATATGGTTTGTTTTTTTCTTTTATTTATTCATTTATTTAAGTTGTTCCAAGATATTAGGTACCAAATGTGTCGAAAGTAGTGTCATCAAGAAAAGGAAGAGAAAAAAATACCTCATTCTCTACCCAACTTACTTGAAAAAAAGGACAATCAGCAANTTTTTTTTTATATGGCCTAAAATTAAACGGATGAACACAGAAAATACACACAGATAAAATACAAAGAATTGAGGTGAAGAAATCTTGCAACATCGATGCCTTTTTGATGCGTGACGGATCACGTACTGGTACATGTACTGTCACCACGGCATGATTGAACTGGTTGCCACACTCCATCACGCATTCTCTTACACGGGTGCTGCGTGGTGGGAACCAGCGCTTTGTGTGTTTTTACTTCCCACAGCGACAACGAAACGTGAAACCTTTTTTTCCTAGCTTGCCAATAACATTTTAGGGACTCGCTAAAAAATTTGAGTCTGGCGGAAATCGGAAGCGTTGCTTTGGCCTTTGAAAGTTTGATTCTCCGATCATTGTTTGGGTACTCAAACGTTGATGTTTTTACTTGTTGCATCTAGGCTTATGCCTCAGGCTGTGTTACTGAAAAACAAAATGAACGACAATCAATGGGGCGAAGTGGAATGGGGCGAAGTGGTAATGGGGCAAAGTGGTAATGGGGCCAAGTGGAAATGCATGAAATGGGGCGAAGTGACCGACACCTGTCTCAACGGTCGAGTTGTGCAAAGTCGAGTTGGCAAACGGTCGAGTTGTCCGACATCCCCAAGCTGGCAAGTTGCCAAGTTGGTGGGTGCCGCGTAGACGAGGCGTCGAGTTGTCAAGGTGCCCAAGTGACCAGTTACCGTTGTCCGGACTCCATGATCTACATGTACATTTAGATAATTAGGCCTATGCTAGTTTCTAAGTGTACTAGGCCATTGGCCTAGTCGACTAGTCCTATATAGGATCCTACGGTGGGATGCCTAGGCCTAGTGCTACTGTTACACCTCAACTATAGCTTCAGTCCCAACTATACATGTAGTTGGGCCCGTCCCGACTAGAGTGCTACAGTTGGGCCGGCCCAAATATAGCAGAGAGGTCCTGCGTGCATGATGTGCCATGCCCAGCATGTGCCAAAGTCATATTGTTCACAAATGTCATGTCATCGGTCATACAAGTACATGTATGATGTAGGGCTAGATGAACAGATGAAGTGCCACATTTTAGATGAATTGTGTCTCAAGTGTGAGACACATTGACTTGGATAATGTTGAGACATTTCCCACAGACATTGGTCAACAATAGTTGGGCCTGCCCAACTGCATCACTACAGTTGGGACTGTCCCAGCTATAGTTGGGACGGGATCAGGTCAACTCGGACCCAGGACCAACTCGGACCCACGCCAACTCAGACCCAATACTAACTCGGACCCACCACCATCTCGGACCCACAACCAACTCGGACCCACGTCAATTCGGACCCATGCCATTTCGGACCCACCTCGAGTCAATTCGGACCCACTCAGTCTCAAGGTTGCATTACACCAAATACGCACCCGTAGACCGAAATAGCGCCGACTCTTGAACCTCGTGAAGACGTTGGTCTTCATTTTTTTGGCTGGAAATTCAAGATTATGGCCAGATTGATCACTTTTCGTTTCAATTTTATGAACTATTTTATTCGCCTTTTCCCGAAGATACCCCCCTCATTGTAGTAAAACTATGCGCTCACATGAATGTACCCGCCTTCCTCTATCCAAAATAGGCCCGCATTGTAGGGCTTTTTGTGAAAGAAATACTCTGAACCGGAAACTATCAATCCCAAATTCGGAATTTATATAAATAATTCTATGATCCCTCGTGATTATGGCACGTCTTATTGCAGAAAATAAGAAACCGTGGGATCACAAAATGTTAATAATANTTTTTTTTTTATGTGGCCTAAAGTTAAACTGATGAACACAGAAAATACACACAGACCAAATACAAAGAATTGAGGTGAAGAAATCTTGCAACATCGATGTTTTTTTGATACGTGACGGATCACGTACTGGTACATGTACCGTCACCACGGCATGATTGAACTGGTTGCCACACTCCATCACGCATTCTCTTACACGGGTGCTGCGCGGTGGGAACCAGCGCTTTGTGTGTTTTTACTTCCCACAGCGACAACGAAACGTGAAACCTTTTTTTCCTAACTTGCCAATAACATTTTAGGGACTCGCTAAAAAATTTGAGTCTGGCGGAAATCGGAAGCATTGTTTTGGCCTTTGAATGTTGGATTCTCCGATTATTATTTGGGTACTCAAACGTTGATGTTTTTACTTGTTGCATCTAGGCTTATGCCTCAGGCTGTGTTACTGAAGAACAAAATGAACGATAATCAATGGGGCAAAGTGGAATGGGGCAAAGTGGTAATGGGGCGAAGTGGAAATGCATGAAATGGGGCGAAGTGGAAATGGGCGAAGTGACCGACACCTGTCTCAACGGTCGAGTTGTCCAAAGTCGAGTTGGCAAACGGTCGAGTTGTCCGACATCCCCAAGCTGGCAAGTTGCCGAGTTGGTGGGTGCCGCGTAGACGAGGCGCCGAGTTGTCCAGGTGCCGAAGTGACCAGTTACCGTTGTCCGGACTCCATGATCTACATGTACATTTAGATAATTACATGTAGGCCTATGCTAGTTTCTAAGTGTACTAGGCCATTGGCCTAGTCGACTAGTCCTATATTTTTGTATATAGGATCCTACTGTAGCATGCCTAGGTCTAGTGCTACTGTTACGCCCCAACTATAGCATCAGTCCCAACTATACATGTAACTGGGCCCGTCCCAACTAGAGTGCTACAGTTGGGCCAGCCCAAATATAGTAGAGAGGTCCTGGGTGCATGATGTGCCATGCCCAGCATGTGCCAAAGTCATATTGTTCACAAATGTCATGTCATCGGTCATACATGTACATGTATGATGTATAGGGCTAGATGAACAGATGAAGTGCCACATTTTAGATGAATTGTGTCTCAAGTGTGAGACACATTGACTTGGATAATGTTGAGACATTTCCCACAGACATTGGTCAACAATAGTTGGGCCTGCCCAACTGCATCACTACAGTTGGGACTGTCCCAGCTATAGTTGGGACTTATGCTATAGTTCAATTTAGTTGGGGTGTAGTACTACTCCGTCGTGTCCGTAGGCCTACATATAAAATGTTATTTTCTCACCTCTGGGCTTTGGCAGTCTTAAAAATGGCTGAAATTACATCAAAGAATCGTTGAACTTCCTCTCTGTGTTCAGTCTGAAATGATGAATTAATAAAGGCAAACTCACCGGACTCAAAAGTTGACAAGAAACGCACAGAATGATGGAAAGTGGAATTCACGGACACTCCTAAACCGCCATCTTGCATTGCTGATGATGACTATCCACGAAAATATTTCAGGGGTGTAAAGAAACTTTAAGTAATTTATGTTTTGATGGACACTTTTCTACTATCAAAATATCAACGAAATATTGTTTAAGAGTAGATATTCAATTTGAAAATTGAATCAGGTGATACATTGGATTATAAAAGGTTTGTTCACAAGGTTTATTTTCATTTATCACTCTTCCAGTAAATATCCCCACCCCTGTCAGAAAGTGTTGAAGTAGCAGGATGACACAATCATGTTTCCGGTGAAGTCATTTAGTCTGGCTTCAACTCTATGCTTAGGCTGCATCCGAATCTCTTGTCTAGATCTAAGTCTTGGTATTCACTCCATTGGAAATGCATGGAGACGCGCAGACTATAGACCTAGCCGTAGCTCTGGAAGCCTGTTTCGGATCACGGCCTTACATACATGTACATGTACGTACTGTACTATTCCGGGGGCCTACCTGTTTGCAGAGGGCAGAAACTAGACTACATGAATCTCAAGCGCTTTGTTGACTGTCATTACTGTCAGACTGCGGACTTATCCGAATTTATGCCAGAATTTCATTCTGATCAAGTTGTGAACTAATACCACTATTTCCCCAAGGTAAGTTCTGTAATATTTCCCCCTGAGCATGGTGAGTGCAGTAATGAGTGCAGTAAATCTTCGACATATTCAACAGTTTCAATACCTTTGCCAATTGTGATTGGGAATCAGTTTTAATGTGGTATTCGTCAACAAGCATGACAAGCTTCAACAAAGCGTCCAGAAGTTATTCAAGCATATTTGTGCAAACATTTTTATATAAAATATTAATAGGAATCCTGCATGTCAAATCCACAGCATTATAGTTATCTGAAATGATATATGAGTGTTGACATTTGAGTGACAAAGTCGGGCCTGTTTGTGCAGTCTGACCGGCCGCCATCTTGTTTTTGCGTGGACGGCAGAGGGTGCACCACTACAAATAAATTCCCATAGACAGCAGTGATAAATCCCCATACTTCACAAATATTTTAAAAATACTCACAACA